ATGGCTGCAGCAGATGTCTCTCTGTGCTGTGCCTGATCAAGATCATAGACCAATTCATCAGTGGGATTAAAGAGCAGCCAGTTTGTGTGAAGTATTTAAAAAGACACAACTGTGTCTGTTTTGCTTACACGTGCCAATGTATAATAAAAACTTTGCAGCCCGAGATGAAGTTGCTGGACTCGAGAAGGACGCGCGTTGCCAAATAAAACAATTGGATTATGAGCTTAGGAGAAAGAAGGCATAGAACTGCTGGGCCAAGAATAGTGACATTTGCAGGAGCAGGAAATCTCTGAAATCACTCTTCGTTCAGCCAGTAAACAAAACAGTTTGGTGCGTGTTTCTCACCATATGTTTGAGTCTTATCCGTAAGCATCTGTCAAAGAAAGCATAAAACATTCATAACTCAAGCTATACCCATGCAAGATCATGTTTATACATGGATGAAATTGCACATATGTCTATTTATTAGTCTCATTTATGCTTGATTGTATCAAGCCAGGCCTTGACCCAATGCTCCCAGACTATCACTGCTAGTGGGAGTGTGCTCTTTAAATATATGAACGGTCCTGTCACCTTGCTGTTTTATACGGGCTCACCAGGCTCTTTATGAGGTAGACCTTTTTTACCTGCTTATTAGCAGTATTTAATATCTAATTTGCCACATCATCACATGGTAACAATACGGTTCATTTAGGCATGTATATGTGGTAAAAAATGACCTGATAAAGTTTAATTAGAATGCAGAGTAAAGGTGATTTAATTGATCTTAAACATAGCGTGGTTATTGGTGCTAGCTGGGTTGGTCCAAAACTGCTGATCTAATGGGATTTCTCAGCATCATTTCTTTGGGTGAAAATGGCTTTTGATGCCACAGCTGAGGAAAATGACCAAACTGCTTCAAACTAAGGGAAAGGCAAATTAACTCTAACACTCTTTACAACCAAGATATGCTGATGAGGATCTATAAACGTACAATACATCAAACCTTGAAGGGCATGCACCACTGCAGCAAATGATCAAAGCAGGTGGTGCTCCTTTCAGCTAAGAAGAGGAAACTGAGGCTATAAGTTGCCCAAAATTGGGACAGCAAATTGGAAAAATGTTTTCTTGCCTGATGAGTCTCGATTTATACTGCAATATTCAGATGGTAGTGTGAGAATTTGGAGTATAGACTACTGGTGATTGCATAAATGTGTGGGAGATTTTGGGCCCTTTAGTACTAGCTGAGCATTGTTTAAATGCCACAGCCTACCTGAATATTCTGGCTTTGTCCATGTTTTTGTGACCACAATGTTCCCATCTACTGATTGCTGCTTCCAGTACCATAATGGGCACTATACCCAAAGGACCTCCACAGGCACCAGATCTCAATCCAGCAGAGCACTTTTGGGATGTGGTGAAACAGGAGATTCGCATCATGGATGTGCAACCGAAAAATCAGCAGCAACTGTGTGAAGCTGTCAGGCCAATATGGATTTCCTTGAAATCTCTGAGAAATGTTTCCAAAAGCTTGTCTAATCTATGCTGTGAAGAATTAAGGCAGCTCTAAAAGCAAAAGGTGGTCCAGTGGGGTTTTAGCAAGGTGGCTGATGAATATATTTGTGTGTCCATATGAATCATCTCCCCTATAAATGTCACTGTCACCTTATGTTCTCTTTCCTGTGCACAGGTGCCATACTCACACTAGAGTAATTCAAGATTTGTATGAGAAGGAATGGGGCTCTGTTTGAATCACTGCACCTTTTTCTCTCTCTCTGCTTGTGACTCACACAGTTGTCACTAGCATTCAGTATCATTCTCTTAACTCTTACTACTTGTTTCCTCTGAAAATTCTTCTTATATAAACTAGCCCTCTGCCACATTGGTGATCACTTATGCCACCTCCAGACTGCAGATGCAGCATGTGTTCAATCTGCAGTGAACCACTTGACATTTAAACGCTAGTTTAATTAATTTTTTCCCTCTCGATTGCGGTGCTGGGTACTGTACCAACCTCTTTCAACCATAGTCGAGATGAGAGTGACTGACGAGAGTTGACCCATGCAGTGGACCCACCCCCAGTTTTGGTTTTGCCGTGTTGGTCTGAATGGTGTTCAGTCCTGGGGCTTGAATGAGAGAATGGCCTGTATTGTTGGTAACCGTCGTGCTCTGTGTGCCTTTTTTTTTATGAGTAGCTATTTTGTAACAGCTAACTTCTTAAAATGAATGTTGTGTCAGAATGTATCAAACCCGTTGACAATCTGCATATGTCTAGTTCAGAAATTCATTTCAATATTTGTATTTTGACTGCTTACACTTAGCTCTATCTGTCACAAGAACACTGAGAATGGAAACGGGAGTGACTGGTTGGGATGAAGGGTTGAAATTGGCAATTTTCATGCGACTAAATCTCTCAGTAGGGGTTATGTGTCACAGAAAGGATTGATGGCTCATTTCTTCCTCTAAGTAAAGTGTTGCTGTGGCCACCCTGTTTCCGTCCTGCTTTGCTGTATGTGCGCTCTGCAAGCTTGTAGGCATATGCTTGTACCAGTAACGAGGAGACGATGACGTGATTGTTTTTGTTTTGTTCCTGGAGAGTCATCCTACAAAAGGCTGCCTGTGCTAGGCAAATAAATGATTAGTATAATATAAAAAGACACAATCTAATCTTCAACTTGAGTCTCAGCAATGACACTCAAGAGCCAATCAAATTTAAAATATGAATACCAGACAAAGTGAAATTTAATCAGAGATGAGTGACAAAACATGATTGTTTAGTTTATATAACTGCCAGAAAAAAATGTAATAATGTAAATCATGCATTTACTTTTTGTTTACCCCTCAGCCTTTGACTTCACATAAGTAGCTCTGGTTTTATAGCTGGATTTCTTTATTTTTTTAACTTAAAGTGTTGTGTGTAACCATGTGCCTCTATCACTGCTGTTATTAGTTTTACTGTCTGCATTTTTACCTCCATTATTTTCTTTTCCATTTTCCCTTTTTCTTCTTCTTCTTTTGTGTGCCTTGAAAGCACTTTGGATCAACTGTGTTGTGTTTGAAGTGCTTTACAAATAAGGGTTCCCAGCCACGTTGGAAAAAAAGAAGAAGAAAATCCACAAGGAAGTAGAACATAACAGCTTTCCTACCCGCTTACTCTCTCTCACTGAAGTCAAGCTTCACATATCTGCAACTGAGGTAGATTTCAGGAAAGAGGTGAGCAGTGGAGAGTACAAAGTAGTAGTTTGGGGGAGGGGTGGGCAGAACATGTCTACAATGTAGAGGGAAGTTTCAGTTCACCCCCAGGGAACACGCAGAGTAGGTGTGAAAAGTAGGCTGGTCTTGGTGCTTTAAACTGACTAAATTTCCTCAGTCAGGTCACAAAAGGAGGTGATAGGCAGGTAATGTGTTCGTGTGTAGATTTAGCTGGCTGCGAATAAAACTGACCGTGGTCGTGGGCATTACTGGAATGGCTAAGGAAAGGATTACACTCTAAGGACACGGACAATGCGGACCCCAAAGCCAAGTGTTATTCCTGTTGTATTTCAGTGAAGTCTGCTTCGGTTTCACCTGAAAGGCGTAGTTGTTGGTCCATTGTGTGGTTACAAAGAATTGGCAGACACACGGATTGTCCACAAAGATCCTCGTCGATGTCATTCAGACCCAAAGAGATTCTAGCGTACGCATGTATGCAGAAACTGCAACAAGCTTTTAAGGATAGTGAGGGAACGATTCTCCCGTTCATATACTGAGTTCTATTAACTGAGGTCTCTTGGAAGAAAAAAGCAAGTGTAGGCTCTGCTGCTATCCTAGCAGTGTGGTGAGTACAAAACCAAAAAAACAACCCCAAAATATGCAAATGGGTGTATGTGTGCAGTTATTTAGTCTGTACCAAAGACCTTGTGTGTGTCTTATGACTGTCATGATGCAGTGCTTGGAGCTAGAGATCTGTGCAAGCAATGGCCTTGTTCAGGCTAGATAATTAGTCAAATGCTGATTTCTCCTCAACTCCCATAGGAACAGTGTCACCTAGGCCAAATATCACCCATTGAAGTGGTGCTTGTCTTTCTGTGTGGGCTTGGAAAATTGCATTGCCGTGTAGGCTACAAGTACATACAGTTTGTTCCATACGTTTTTGGACAGGGGACAACTTTTCTAATTTTGGCTCTTGACATCATCACAGAGGATTTCAAGTAAAACAGTCGACATGTAAGGAGTTTAATAAAATAGTTGCATTAACTGCTTGGGACTTACTGCCTACAGTGTGTAAAAATAATAGGGATCTGTTGAAAGACATAGAAAACAATAATCACAGTAATGTTTTTTGTAAGTGCATAATCACTTCATTAATAAAGATTACAGTTTTGTTACCTTAAAATGAGGCCTTTATGTTTATTAATTAATGCCTGTGGTGCTCTTCACTTTGCTCACATATGGCATAGACACGGTTGGCTAATTTATCTGGTTATTTTTAATATCTTGTTAAACCAATTTATACAGTCAGATGACAAAACCTTGGCTGTTTACAGTTACAGAGAATGTAACATTGCATTTGGGTGGACATGATGAAATGAATATATTTACAAAAACCAAAAGAATTTGAATTTATAATAAATCGTTTTTAAAAACCTGTAGATATTAATAATCGCTGTATGTGTAAAGATGTTGGTGGAAGGTTTAATTCAGCTGTTAAGGAAGAGATGGGACTATTTACATACACGTGCTGTTATCATTATAGTAAGAAAGAAGCAGCTTGTTTTCTAGCTATTGTGTGTTCTCTTCAATGCTTGGAAAATGAAATATTCGTGATTGCGTCTCTCTAAGGAGATCTCTGTAATCTCATCATTAACCTATGCACAGTGATGAACCACAATGACACGGAGCAGGCTGCCAACTGTTAACTTTCCCCTCCCATATTGACTTCATATTTTTCACATTTGCCAATCGAAGTCCATATTTCTTTTGAGCGAGAATGTATTTCTGACCCTTGGTCCCCTGACTGTCTTTATTGTGTTTATGTGCAGGAGCTTCAGTTCGAGCGGCTAACCAGGGAGCTGGAAGTGGAGAGGCAGATTGTGGCCAATCAGCTGGAAAGATGCAGACTCGGAGCTGAGTCACCAGGCGCTGGTAGCAGCAGGTAATGAGCAGAGAGACACACACACACACACACAGAGGAAGCCACAGTCCAACACATGGCTTTTCTATCCTTCACAGCAGTGGCCATACGCTGTGGTATAACCTTATGGCATTATAGCATTGTGATGGAGCATCCCAGTATGCTCAATGATGCTCAGTGATTGGACTATGAATCTAAAATATTTCTCCGTCTTGTGCTTTAATCTGAGAGGAACAGAATCACTCCTTGCATGTGCATGCGTATGTATGTATGCATTTATATGTGTGAGCTGTGAGGTGTTGTTTTCTCAGCGACACATTGCTGTCAGTGACTTGGCTCTGTGGGCGCATTCCCACTTCATCAGCAAAGACACTAGGTTGCCTGATCATCACACCTCAGTGACCGCACATTCTGTCCTGTCTGCTGTGGCTCACATATGTCAGGTTCATCTGTAAGGCTCAATATAACGTTGAAATATCTCAACAGCCTCACAAGGCAGCTGCAACAAAGTTTTAACAGCAGTCTTATTGTCTTCTGCTGTAAAATGCGTCCATAGTCCTCTTCTGTCATATGTAAACAACAAACCTTCTGCAGCAACAGAAACAATAAAGGCAATGAGCAGTAACAGTTGCAAATGCACAAACCAAAATACTTGCACAGTATGTTTATTATTGTTTTTAGGGCTTTGTCACGTCACGTCACGTAACTGTAAATGTTACTGTCACAAACACAGGACTATGACTAAATTATTCCTGTTTGAGAGAAACAATAATTGGTGTAAACGCTTGATAATTAAAGTTGTATTACTGTTTGTTTTTTAATGTTCTGTTTTTGATGGCGAGCTATTTTTTTAATTAAAACTAAAAATGAAGTACTTCAAAATAAAAGCTCATGTATCGTAAACATGAATCCTGTTATAGTTGCACTTTTAGTATCTTAAGCTGAAATGAGAGTAAGAGAATTTGTGAGCATTATGATGGGAGTTATTTGTGTCTTTCATTTTCTTTGAATGTCTGGTTTACTGAAACAGCATACTGCTATACTACGAGTATTTTACTTGGAGTTAACCAAGCTGTACTCTGATGTCTGGTTTAGTCATAAGTATTATGTCTCTTTGTAAGGTTTGATTCCTGAGTGCTGCTATAAAAATAATGATGAGATCACAAATTATGTAAACTGTCTTTGCACTTGAAAGATTGGTGGTTAGATTCCCGGCTCCTACAAGTGTGTATTTAGGCAACACATTGAACCCCAAATTCCAACTAATGAGCGTGTGTGCCGAGGAGAAATGCTAAAAGTCCTGCATGAATAGTGTCAAAGTGGCCTGAGTGATCAGAAATGACAAAAAAGTGCTATTTACTCATTTTGTTGTTTGGATCATGTGGTCAGAGCTAAGGTACAGTCATCTTTTTGTTGCACTGTACTCCTGTAAACACTTTTCCCCCCCCCCTTTTTTTAATCTTCATCATATAACCAAAAAGAAACAACTACTTCTAATTATTGCTGCTACAGGTGGTTCTTCAAGCTTCTCATATGTCTAGATGCACGAAACACCAGAGCTGCTGCTGCCTCTCCTTAAACATCTTGCACCATACTATGCCTTCTAGATGGGCATGTAAGGATGACAGGAGTTGTAGCTCTAGTGTAAGGTTCCACCCTACCCTTATCTATGTTTATCCCCTAATAGCTTAAATCTCTTACATACTACATCCTTCTGTATAGTGCTTTTTATGAGTGTGGGGCGAGCTATTTTCTTCACAAGTGGTCAGTGAATATAAATTCTGATGGCATGTTGCTACATTCACTCTCAAATGGGCCGTAACACAATTGGGATATATCTGGATACATGACACTTTGTTTCAAAAGTAGCTTTAATGGCTCTCTGAACTTTTCTGGCTTTCTGATAATAAGCCCTATGCCCTTAGATAGTGCATTCTTGCACTCTAGCCTGCATAACTCTAAAAAGCACTCACCTACCAGCACTGCTCAGTAAGTGTCCATTTCCCCTTTGTCCCTTTTTAGAGGGGTGCAAATATACAGCAGCTTTAAGTGCTGCCAAAGAGGTGTGGACAACAGCTCTCTGAATTATACACAGCCCCAGTAATTACTTTAATTTCCTCTTTCTCTCATTTGGAGCACAGTTTTAATGAGTCCAACCACACTATGGTTGTTCTTTATTCGTCCACACACGGGAATATTTATAAAATGATTCATATATCAAGAATAATTTTGGGAATAAAGCTTAAGGACAGAGCAGTCTTTGTTTACTCAACCTAATTATTCCCTAAAATATCAAATCTTGTGTGTGCTAGACACAATGAAAATATCACCCAAATCTGTTTTGTGTAGCTTTCAGCTCATTGTCTTGATCCACTGGTCCATAAGTGACATTTGGCTTGCAAAACAAAGTGTTTTTCAGAGTAGTTGGTGGACTAAATGAGTCAAATGCCAAAATCCCAGGCAATGTTGGACATGCAGTTGTCTTGTTGTAGGCTAAGTGTCACTTAAAAAGCATCACAAGAAAAAACTCGACTGAATTGGCAGACACAGGTTGTTGCTGTGGTTTCATTTTAATGAGGCTTGCCCTATAGCTCGGTTGTTAGGACTGTCAGCTTGGGACTTAAGGCTTTCCATGTATTTGCTACGATAGTAGTATGCTGTTTCTGTCTTCATAGCTATTAGTCACCTACTTATCTTGCCTGAGATACCACTCGGATACCTCTTTACCGCTTTAGAAATCTTTCATTTTTTTCACATTGCTAATGCTGCTGTTTGCACTTCTCTTGCCCACAAATTATGACATTTTACTGGCCTTCCATTCACTCGTTTTATCTTCTAGCGGCATATTCTGTGTTGTGCATGTAATGGAACATGCATTTGTTGCAAACTGTTCAGCATGCAGTTTCTTTGGGTTGATAAAGGCTATAGCTAGAGGCTATCCCAGCCAAATTTGAGCAAGAGGTACATCTTTGGGTGGTTTACCAGTCAATCACAGGCCTAGCACAAACAAAAGATTCACATCCACACCCATGTACAATTCCGAATTACTACCGTAGTCAAACTACAAAAAAGTTTGTTTTTCTGCTGCCTTCCATTTGAAGTGGTGTCAGGCTTTCCACTCGGTGAAGTCTGAGTAGCCACACCAACCTCGATTTTGCAATTCGAGATGGCAGCTGCAAGGAAAATGGTATTAAGACTGTAAAACTATTGTGCATGTGTCACTAGTTAACCTGTACATTGCGTTCATACCCAAGTATTGCTACTGATGGCAAAATTTGTTTACCTTGATATGGAGAGAAAACAAAGCCTTTTTTTTTCTGACTGCTACTGAATTATGGTCAAGTTGGGTATGACATCACTACCAATTCCAGTGTCCAACTTCCTTTGTATTAAGGTAAAAGGAATGCTGGCTTGGTCTGTGGGCAGAAAGTGGAGCATCCAGAGGGAACTAGTGTAGGCACAGAGAGAAAATGCAACCCTAAATGTTAAGAAAATACAAAATATACAAATTCACATAAATATGTTAACTAAAGTCAGTAAAATATGTATCTGTCTGCAGGACTGATCCAGCCTTCCTCCCGCTTTTCCTTTCTTTCTGTTACCAAACATTAAGATTTGCATCTTCCATTTATTCCAGTGGGAAAGAGTTGCAAGAGTATTTGAATGTGAGACAAGGTACATGGATAGAAGCAGAAATGCCTGGTATGGGCACATTCTTAAAATTTAGCCACTGTAGTCTGACCCTCTGAACAAGTTAATTGAGTTTGAATGAAGTTTGAAACAATGTTATTAGCAAACAGCCAAGTCTGCAGTTTAGGATGCTTTTTATTATTTAAACTGAATTTATTCCCAGTGTCTGTTGGCAAAGTCCCACCTAAATATTTGCCTCTAATCATCCAGCCCTGCTCTCATCATGCAGATCACAGTCAGTGTTTTGGTTGAGCTTTGTGATGTCTGTTTGAAAAAGCATTAAATTAAATTTTCTGCGAGTTAAGTGTGCAGGGCTTTTTTTTCTGATTTGTTTTCAGTCTCTTGCATTTGCTTTTGACTGGGTGCCTTTTTTCCCCACCATCATGGATGCCCTACAACCCATTTTCACCTGAAATCTACTGCTGTAGATAGTCTTATGCTAACATAAGACTAATGCATGATGTTTTAAAGCCTGTATATGTACGTGTAAATATAAACACTTCAGACTGAGAGACTGAAACCACCTAGGACCCTATAAAGAAAACGTACAACACCGCTTTTCACACCTTTCTTTTTTTTTCCCCCTTTCAAGTAAGAAGACGAATGATATGGTTGTGGCTCGAGATTTGCGAGTGAATGGAGATTAGCCTCGAGCATTGAGGTCACACTGATTGGCTCAATAGCACAGCAGGACAACAGCAGAGGTGACAACACACTTGAGGGGTTCGGATTGGAGTCATTACATTTCGCGACACCTCCAGAGCTGGCCTCCACCTTCATTTGTACAAGCAGACAGGGGGTGGCCATCAAACTTCACCTCTGGCAAACTTAACTAGAAGATGCAACCCCCACACCCAGCCAGCCTTTCATTAGCCAAAAGAACTGATGGGAAATAAAGTGTCATGTCACAGTTAGGCCTGTTGTGTATCACCATTGGCACTTTTACTCTCACTTAGCAGCGCCTTCGCTCTGCCTGCTGGTCAGCATGCAGCACGG